CGCGTTGCAGGCAAGTGAGATATACCCCCAAGGGGGTACGATCGAAGACGAAAAGGGCGGATCCCGATGCTTTGGGATAAGCGTGTGGAATGGCACGCGAGGAGATAGGAGCGAACAGTCTTAACATTACTGTTGCTATTGGACTCCATCCACTGAGTAATACATATGGTTGAACCCCCCCTCCGGCGCACACTGTATTTTCCAACTGAAGCGCCCCGCGCACCTGGTTTCCTAGCAAAAAAAATCGTGAAGCTAGTGAACCTGGGACCATGCTCCCCGAACTACAACAACAACAACAACAACAATCATTTAAGACTGGGGACACTCCGTTCTCACCAGTGCCAGGGTTTTCATAGGAGGCGGGCAATACCCCCACTTTGTGGGGGGGCCGGTTCAAGCTCTACCAAGTTTCCAAACGACTCTTCGCCACCACCCACACCCAGCTTCCCGCCCTATGACGTTCGGACACTTCACTTCGTGGCCTGCGGACGACCTTGGCTACTATTCAGGGCCCCGCGGCCGACGACGACAGCGTGCGCGCGCGAAGAAAAAACGAATGTGTCCCGCATGGTATTATTTGACAGGGATGATGGCCCTGGCAGGTGCGCAACCGTTGTTGCAGAAGTTCGAAAAAGTTGCTCGCAAAAGCCCGTTTGACAGAAATGTTTAAAAAGTGTTGGGTTTCCTACGAATCCGCAAGAGCGCGCGGGATGAGATTTTGACATTTTTTGTTGAAAAACCATTGGTTTTTTGATGTTTTTATGTTAAAATCGCTCCGAACACTAAGGTTTTGGAAGGATTTCGTCTTGCGCGCGCGAATGTCCACTTTACCTTATTTTTTGCAAGGGATTCTTGAAATTTGATTATATTAGAACAAGAAATGTCATTTTATAGTGTTTTTTGCAAGGGAAAACGGATTACAACAAAACAACCGGATCTGGATCACATCGTTTTACCTGAGGCTTCCTCACGAAAATGATGAAAATGTAGCTGCGGCCTAGGCGGCGCAGGGGGGGCGTGCACCAGGGGGCCCAACAATAATTATTCTTTAGAAGTAATAATATTCAACAACAACAACAACAACAACAACAACAACAACAACAACAACAACAACAACAACAACAACGGCTCCCGCCTGATACGTCCTCGAAATCTATCGTCCCCACCCGCTCCCGCATCGGACGTCCTCGCAAATTGCTCGAGAATCGCGATCTCGCCGGCAACCCCCTTGCGATTGACAGAACGGCGCCGTGCTCTCGCTGTTCGGGAAGTGCGCTCTCGCCCTTGCCTTCCTCCTGCTTCCCTTGGGAAGTCGCGCTCTCGCCTGGAACTTCCTGGCCGGGCATGCGGGGCCCACGCATCGCCCCGCCCGCTCGACCGCCCGTCAGGGCCCGCCCGCCTGACCCGCCCGCCAGGTCCGCAGTCGCCCCTCGCTGCTTTTCGCTGGCTCCGATGCCCCTCGCTGCCCCACGCGATACCGCAATCGGATGCTGGCCATCGCTCGGACGTCCATTCCCTGTGTTTTTTTCGGTTTCGTGCGTGGTTTTTGTCGCCAAATGATCAAGGATGCTCCTCGATGGTCCGCGCCGAGGAAAAAACGCACACGTCCGAGCGATGCCAAGCCTCGCTGCTTTTCGCTGGTTCCGCTGCCCCTCGCTGCCCCGCGCGATGCCGCCTGTTGATGTGGAAGGCCCCGCCGCGGCTCTCGTGGCCTCCTCGAGGCCTTCCGCGGCCCCGCTAGTTCATCCCCTCGATGCCGTTCCTGGCCCCGCGGTGGCCCTCTCGTGGCCCCCTCGCTGACCTTCGTGGCCGCGATGCAGCTCCCTGTGGCCCTCTGGTTGCCCTTCCTGGCCCCTCTGCAGCCCTCAAGGGCCCCCGCCCGTTTGAGGGTTCTCCTGTTCAGGGGCGTCGTCCTCCGTCTTCTCCCTGCATCCCTGTTTCCCCCTTCCCTCCGGCCTCCCTTCCCCTATTCCCGTCCTCATCGCTCTCCCTTGTCCAACACTTCTGTGAGATCTTTTTTTTATAAAAAAGCAGCTGCATCGATTACACGTGACAGGGAAGAAAGATATTCCATCAACAGGGGCACGATCGAAGACGAAGAAGGCGGGTATCCAGGATATGGGGAACACAGGTTGATTCACGGATTCACGCACACATCTAAGATCGAACAATCTATGAATGAGCATTGTTGTTGCTCTTGCAGCTGGTTTGCTGTTGTTGGTGATGGTGCTGTTATTGTTGTAGCTGGTGTTGTGATGTTCGTTGTTGTGGTTGTTGTTGCTGTTGTCGTTGTTGATGTTGTTGTCGTTGTCGTTGTTGTCGTTGTCGTTGCCGGTGCTGTTGTTGATGCTGTTGTTGTAGTTGTTGCGGAATTCTCAGTTTTGAAAATCATAATTGTTGACCCCCCCTGCCCTGTAACCTTTGTATTTATTCAATTGCAGTGCTTCTCCCAGGGCCCGCACCCTGTTTTTTACACAAAGGAATATAAAGAGTCACCAAACTGCGCCCCTGAACCCCTGTTTACTACAAAAAACGGCTCCCGCCCGAGATTTCCTCGCACTGCAATCCCACATCGCGGTCTCGCGCGAGACTTCCCTGCAGCTCATACAGGAATCGCGCTCTCACCTGGGACCTTCACGCAGTCGGCTCCGACGCCGCGCCCTCGACCCTCAGGAATATCGCGCTCTCGCTGTAGATTTCCAAACGATCTATTTGGGAGTTGCGCGATCGCTGGAGACTTCCGCGCAATTCACGCAGGACTCGCGCTTCCGCAACCCGTCTGTCCCCTGTCCCTTCCTTTCCATCCGTCCTCTCTTCCCCTGCCTTAGGGGCTGCACGAAATACACTGTGCAGGCAAGAAGGATGTGGTACGATCGAAGACGAAGAGGGCGGGTATTGAAGGTTTGGGATATACGTGTTGACTGGCACGCGAGCAGAGAATATCGACCAATCTTAAAATGATTATTGTTGTTGTTGTGTTGTTGTAGTTGCTGCTGTTGTTGCTGCTGTTGTTGCTGTAAAATGCTTTTCGCGGCCTCCCCTTCTCGTCGTCGTTGTCGTCGTCGTCGTCGTCGTCGTCGTCGTCGTCGTCCCCCTTCAGGGTCGGTGGCGCCGGCCGTAAGGCCTTCGCATTGTGGGAGCACATTCTTCGTCAACATCTGAAGGTCGCAGTGTGCCCGCTTATTTCATGTGCCTGCTACAGTCGGACTTGTTTGGAGAGGACACGCGGGAGGACACAAGACCCTTCCGAAGGCCATATCGCCATTGGAGTGTAAGAAGGCACATGTCGCGAGGCACAGGACACAAGGGTACCCTTGAGCTGGCAGGGTCGATCTACTCATCTGGGCCGACTGTAGTGTCGGGGTTAGCGGATCAGCTCACGTAGACTCTCCCGACGCCTCCCAGCGCCGCAGGAAACAATGTATCGAGAAAAGCGCTCCGGCGATGGGGCGGAAACCGGTTGCACGCAGCAGACTCGGTCCCTCCCTGTCCCCAGACATCCGACGTGGCGTTTTTTGTCACGGAATGGCTCCGCAAAGGTCCGGATGCCCTTCCGGGGGCCCGCTTTTCATCCCGAGCCGAGTTTTGACGGTCCTGGGGCCCAGTAAGGGCCCCTGGATACTCACTGCAATCAACTCGGCGCCGTGCTTTTTTCACGACGCCCGGATGTCAGGGTCCCGACCACCCCCTCTTCGTCTTACCCGACCTGCGCAACCTGCGCACCTCCGACTGCGGCGCCGGCAGGGTCGGCGGCGCCCACATCGATGGTGGCACCGGCCGCGTCGCTGCCCTCGGCCTCTGCGGGGTCGAAGTCCACCTCTAGCCGCTTGAGCACGTCCACGAGCTTTTTGTCTGACTTCTTGCGCCTGGCCACTTGCCTGACGGTTGTCAGCGGCAGCTTCTCGCCGTCCACCTCGGTCGTGGGGCGGTTGTTGTAGGCCTCGCGGGCCTTCCTGCGTCTGGAGGGGGCGTGGTTGATCATTCTCCTCTTGCAGCCCTTGAACAGCGCGGGGTGCTGCTTCTCCTTTTCGGGGAGACGTAAGGCTCGGGCACGGGGGGCTCGGGTTGGCCTGACGGGGCCATCATAAAAATGACAAGACCCAATCTGAAATTTGGCAGGAGCTCCCGCTGCAAACATCCCATGCAAACTGGACTGTCAGATCCAGGACGCGCTCGTCTGAAAACGTCGGCAACCCGAGCTCCGGCTTACTGGAGTCTTACGTTTCCCCGATCCTTTGGAACCAAGTGGCACACAAGCTGCTTCCCGAACATCAGGTACTTGTGCATCGTCTCCGCCACGATCTTCGCCACGGCTTCCTCCTCGAACTCCACGAACGCGTAGCCCTTGGACCCCGCGTTCTTCTTGGACCGCGAGAGCCTCAGCCGAGTGATCTTGCCAAACTGCGAGAAAAACTTCTTCATCTGCGGCTCGAAGAACCCCTTCGGGATGTGCCCGAGGTAGATGACGCCCTTCGGCTCCGAGGCCTCCTCGTCGCCCTTCGCGAGGGCCTCTTCCAGGCGCCGCGACTTGGTCTTCCTCTTAGGCCCAGGAGCCTCCTCCTCGCTCTCCTCCTCGCCTTCCTCCTGCTCGCCCGCGTCGAGGGCGCCGCCCTCCTCCTCGGGAGCGCCCTCGGCCTCCACTTCCACCTTGTCCTCCTCCTCCTCGGCCTGGGGCTTGGCGGCCTTCGGGCTCCTGCCCAGGGACGCGAGAACCCGCGGCCGGCGCGTTGAGGAGGATCCCCAGACCCCCGACGTCGTGACCTCTGTCAGAACGTCGACCCCCAGAGGTCTCGACCCACTCCCCGAGGAGGAGGAGGAGGAGGAGGAGGAGGAGGAGGAGGAGGAGGAGGAGGAGGAAGAGGATGAGGAGGGGGAGGAGGAGGAGGGGGAGGGAGGAGGAGGAGGAGGAGGAGGAGGAGGAGGAGGAGGGGGAGTGGAGGAGGGGAGGAGGAGGAGGAGGAGGAGGAGGAGGAGGAGGAGAGGAGGAGGGAGGAGGAGGGAGGAGGAGGAGGAGGAGGAGGGAGGAGGAGGAGGAGGAGGAGGAGGAGAAGGAGGAGGAGCGGGACCAGCTTCTCCCGAACCGTCTTGGCGAGGGTGCCGGGGGGCCCGGCAGGGCCCCCTTCTGGAGGCCAGAAGCAGCGAGACACCTTGCGGCATGCTCTTTGTTCATGGCCAGGGGGGGAAAGTGTGGGTTGAACAGGGACTGACCCTCCCGGCATTCCCATAGGCCTACCATTGAATAGGGCCGGACCTCTCCGGCAGTGCAGCGGGGTCCCACGTGACGTACATATTATCCACGGTGTCACTATGTCTCCGGCCTCTGCGTCTTTAATCGCTGCAGTGGCCCAGCGTCTGTACACCGATATCTTAGATGGCAGTTCTGAGGAGGCAGCACAATTGGTTGGAAACTTGCACAAGAAAACCCAAGAGCGAGGCTTGGTCTGCACATCGGAGACTCTGGTGGTTATCAAGGCTTTGTTCGGCGTGGTGTCCCTGGAGCTTCTTCTTGCTCGAGTTTCCCACAGAGTCTATGTCACGGTATGCGATTTGCTGCTTGAGGTGGAAAGTTGGTTCTTCCCAGCGTCGTACAGGACTCGGCGTCATGACTCGGACGCGGAACTTCTCTGGGGGAGTTTGCACATTAGTCGTAGTCTGTTATGGTTGCGAAAGGCGTCATGCTGCCGACAAGCCAGAGGTGTCCTACTAGCTTTGTGCCCTCATCACCGTGATGCCTTGAGCTGCCCTGGCCAATTGAAGGCTGCAGGCGGCGAGGTCTTGCTTAAGCATGCGATCGCCGCGCTCATAGATGTGCAGTGGAAGGCTTTGACGTCGACGCAGTCGGAATGGGAAGTTCCACAATCTGGGGTCTACGCCTGGGTTGGATCCGGCTTCTTGTACTTTGGTTTGGCTTCGCGAGTTCGTTCAGGCTCGCGGCAACATGGCGGCATGTTATACCGTTGGCTTGAGCATGGTTGCGGCCGGGCCCGGAGCAGCCTACCCGAATCCAGCAAGCTTCGTTACAGACTCGCTCGACGAGGACAGCCTTTCCATCAGACCTTCGTGTGCCTTCGAACTGGCAGTGCGGACCAGATGAGATTAGTGGAAACGGCGTGTATTCATTCTCTCCCTTGTTCGGCGAATGGTGGCCGAGGCTTTGAGTTGCGACGACGCTGCCCTACACACCCCCGCGTGCCACGGCATCGTCCTGCGAAGGGACTCCGCGGCAAATGCAGCAACACACGTATGACAGGCATCTTTGATAGAGGTCTTCCTTTTCTTCCCCTGGCTGGGCAACAGGCGGCTCAGGGCCAATGCCGCCCGCCGACGTCAGCCAAGGAGTGCGAGCTTTGGAAGACGGAGTGGTGGTGGAAAGAGTCGTTTTCGCACGTGTACTTTGCCTGGCAACGCACTGTTGCACAAGCAGCAGGACCAATCGACATCTATTCCAAATCCCACTGGCCTCTCCTCATCCTTTTCCTTGGCTCTTTGCGGGCGTGCGTGGACTGGGAGCGACTTGAGGACGCATGGGTTGTCGACTGCGGTCCGATCTTGGCGGCCCAGTTCCTTCCTTTGGTGTGGGGTCCCCTTCGACGCCAGCGCGCTGAGCGGCGGATTGATGCCGCGTTGGAAGCCCGAGGACTCCCGCCCATCAGAAGCATATCAGTGACAGCTGCTTTCCGTGCTCAGTCGGCGGCCATCTCGAAGTGTATTCGGCAGTGCTCGCTTCTCTGCGACAGGCCGTTTGTGGAGCGTGCTTGGCTCTCCAGTCATATCCGTGTTCTCCCTGGCGGCAGCGCCTGCATGCAGATTCTGTTGATGGTTCACGAGTTTCCAAGACGGTCACTCTGTCAGAGTTTCGCGGTTTGTCGACGAACTCTGTGCGCCGAGCATGGTTTGGGAGGGGGATGCGCCGTGTAGCTCAACGATGGGATGTTCCCGTCCGCGTGCCGTTGGACGACATGGCACGTGATGCTTGGTCCACAGCATTCCGAGTGTGCAAAAAGTGGTTTGGCCTGAGTGTCTGGAAGTCTGCAGGGAGGTTCTGGCCGCTCTGCAGATTCCAGCAAGACCGCTCCATGGGCAAGCAAAGCGATCGATGGCGTGAGTCGTTTACGGAATATGCGGATTTGTTCTAGCGCTTTGCAGCCACAGGTCGACTGCCACATCTGCTGGGATGACAAGGATAAGAAAACTGCTTGGATCGTTCCCCGAAGTTGTTATGTGTTCAACCTGTTCCAGTATGTGTCGAACAACGTGTCCTGGAGGCCGGCTGGAGTATGTCCAGAGTCTGCGAACAGCCTTCTCCACACCACCCTACGAGCAGCCATCCCCGACCGCTTGCACAAGTGGCTTGGCATCTGTCCGAGCTTTTGGGTTTTGCCGCATGTGTACAATACGGTGAAAAGAACATGTTTTCGTGGACACTCTGACAAACCGCACTCTTGCACCCGCTCTGGCCACAGTTGTTGCAGGAAAATCCTTAGCTTCGCTTGCTGGCCGAGGAAAAGCAATTGGCGGCTCCTCTCTCGTGGTCTGGAAACCGTGACCAAGATGTTCACTCCAGGTTTCGAAGTCTGGAGGTTGCGCGATTCGGCGCCAGTCCTTCGAGCACGCATCAATCGGGTGCGCAGGTCGCCCGGTGCAGGACAGTGTTCTTGCTTCAGGTGTGCGGGCCCTCGGCGGCCCCTCGAAGGCCTAGTGGCGGATGCAGGTCAGTTCTTCGAGAGTGTGCGGGCCACGGATGCGGACGAGGCAGTGCGTTTCACGTTGCAGAGGGCCTCAGCTTCACAAGCGCACGACGCAGTGACGGTCTTTAGGTCTCGCAGTCGTCGTGCATTCTTGGGCGGGCGCCCAGGGAACCCGCGACGCGATTTAGCAACTTTCACCGTCGCGGAGCTCGCCATGTGCCTCGTCGGGTTCGTGCGTATGAATTTGGCTTGTGTCGGCGATGTGGTGTGGGAGTTCGATGGTGTTCCCATTGGGGGGTTCCTCAGCAAAATCGCTGCTTCGTTGATTTTGTGCCGTTCCGCGACATGTTGGGTAGAGAACGTTAGCAACCTCTGTCTTCAAGGATTTACCCCCCCGGGCCTGCAGTGGCCTGATGTCGTGGCGTGTTGCAGGTACGTCGATGACGTAGCGATGGTGTCTTCATTCTTGTGCCAACGCTGCCTGAAGGATGCTCTCGCCATGCTGTACCCGGTGCCTTTCGACGTCGCTTCTGATGGGCACATGCTTGTTTGGCTGGATTTGGCAATTGATTTGGACAGGTGTTGTTTAGATCTGTGGCCAAAGGTTTTCAGCACGCCGCCGGCATGGGCCTCGTCTCCGCGAGCTCTCCGGGCATATATGCTCGGTCGGATCGCGAGGTGGTCCGAAATTTCTTTATCAATAGACCAGCTCATAGACCATTCTGCCCGCTTAATCGTGGATCTGCGAGCGTGCGGATGGGGCCCGCAAGCGTTCCGACACGTGTATTTTTCCATGCGGGGTCGGCCAGCATCCACAGAAGTGGTAGTGTTACGGCATGCCCTCCAAGTGGCCGTGCGCAGTCCTTAGCGTGGGAGGGTTTCGTTCTCGTCCCCCCCACCTTGTGCTGTAGGTCCCCCCCAGGGGCGCGACTCGCGCGTCGTGGTCCGAGCCTGCACTGCCGCCCTCTCCCGCGGGCGGCGGCGTGAGGGCGAGAGGGCGCGAAGATAACTGCGAGTTGCGCATCGCGGGGGGGCGATGCGCGAAGTTAGGCGACCTACGTAGATGCCTGCTGCCGTTTTGGCCGAAGAGCGCTGATTCAGCGCCATCCATATTTTATATCCGAGTCTCCGCGGAAGCAGGCAGTGCTCAAACTGATCAGACTCGGGCTGCATGTTGTGAAAATCGCAATTGCAAAGTTGTGCATCGTCATCGTACTTTGCTATCGGTATTCCTACCACGACAGGTGCCTAGAACACAAGAATACTCTAAGAGCAAAAACAATGTCCTTAGAGCATGAGACCGAATGTGTTGAACAAACAACGGTCTTAGCCAAACATGTTCTGAGAACACCTCGTGCAGACCACAAGAGGTTATCAGACCATTCTTTGGTGGGCCTACAGGCAAGCCAGGACGCTTCGCCACTGCTTGCGTGGGTCAGCCGAAGCAGCGAGACACCTTGCGACATGCTTTTGGTTCATGGCGAGGAGAGGGGGGGAGGAGGAGAAAGAGGAGGAGGATGAATGGGTGGAGTAGGGATGGGGCTGGAGGAGGGGAGAGGAGGAGGAGGAGGAGAAGGCGGAGGAGGAGGAGGAGGAGGAGGAGGAGGAGGAGGAAGGAGAAGGCCTTTTGTTCATGGCCGGTGGGGGGAAGGTCTGGGTCAGCTGAGGCCACGTCGCGCCAGCCGGAGAGCAGCTCACAAGACGGGGGGGCCAGCGGAGGGAGGCGAGGCGAGGCGAGGGTCGGCCCCACGCGCCCTCCCAGATCCAGGATTAGGTCGGGCATGTCCTGCTGCAGGCGGATACTTGAAGAAAGATAAAACAAACAAATCCAGGGTGGGCATGTCCTCCTGCAGGCGGGAATTGGAAGACACACCATGTAAGACAGACCATCAAGCCAGAACGAAAAGACCTCGAGAGAGCACGGGAACTCCGCACGAGACTGCTTGCGACTACTCTCGAAGATTCCTCCCATGGAGGGACAGGCCCGACTCAACCCTGGACGTCACGACCCCTTGCCCAGGGCCGCTTCTCCGCCCCGAGCCGCTGTCTTTGACGCGGCCGCGGGGCCAAGCGGAGGGGCCCCCCACCGGGGCCGAGAGGGCGGCCCGAGGCGCCGGCCCCCGACCTCTTGCCAGGCCGCTGGATTTAAGTCGGCCGTGTCCCCCTCGACGAGAAATGAAAAATACTCGAAACATGCTCCAACATGGTCCAAACATGCCACAACAAAATAATCCCCAGACTATGTTTTTGCCCATTTTTGCATATTCCTCCCGAAGAGGGACGGGCCCGACTTAACTCGGGAGCGGCCAAGAGGGGGGTGTGCAAGAGGGGGGGGTGCAAATCATGACCGGCGGCACGTGCGCGGCCCAGCGGGGGGGCCAGAGGGACGTAATGGAACAAGACGAGGCGCCATGAGATCTGGGGAAACATCACGGCCCACGCCATGACATCCAGCCCCCCCCTAGTCGTCATCACCCCCCCTCCTTTCCGCCCCCGACTCACGCTGGACGCCTGGGTTCGGACATGCGCCCCGATCCTGGCGCCCCCCTTCTTCCTCCCGGCCTTCTTGCCCATCGCGGCGGCGGCGAGGGCCCCGGCGGCGCAGAGGCGGCCCGGCCTTGGGAGGGTCGGCTGCGGGCAGCACCTTTGCGCGCCTCGAGCCGCCGGGCGCCGGGGAGCGGCAGCTCCGAGCTCCGAGGTCCTCCTCCTCCTCCTCGCCTCCTCCTCCTCCTCCCGTCTCTCCTCCTCCTCCTCCCTCCTCCTCCTCCTCCTCCTCCTCCTCCTCCTCCTCTCCTCCTCCTCCTCCTCCTCCTCCTCCCCTCCCCCTCTCCTCCCTCCTCCTCCCCTCCTCCTCCTCCTCCTCCTCCTCCTCCTCCTCCTCCTCCTCCTCCTCCTCCTCCTCCTCCTCCGGTCGGATGCTTGTGCCGGGGGCCTTCCTAGAGCCGCTCGCTCCACTCGCGCGCCGATGCTGCGTCGAGCGTCCGTCGCCTCGAGTCGAATCAGAGTCGGACTGGGAGCTGGAACAGATCAGCTGGGTGGGCCTGGGGAAGGTCCCTGGAGCGAGCCTCGGGGAGGGGGGGGGAGGGCAAGAGAAGGAAAGGAGTCGGTGCAGATCCCCTGGGCGGGCCTCGGGAAATGTCCCCAAAGGCGAGAGCATCGAAACAGCGGGGGGCAAGGAAGAGGGGACTTGGTGCAGCATTGCCCGAGGCACGTGCGCGGATGACAGGGGGGGGCAAGGGGCGTGCTGAAAAAAGCAGGGGGGCCACGAGATCTGAGGGACTTATCGCCCCCCTCTCTGAAGGGGCCCTGGGACACACGAACAAATACACACGAAGAACAGGATTCCCAATCTTTTCCCATATTGTCTGGGCTTCTGTCTTCCCCCCACTTTCCATCTGTTTCCCATCTTTTTTCCTGGGAGTCGACGATTCATTGTGTCTGTGTGCTTGTTCCCCTCCTGACTCTCGGACGCCCACGACATTCGGCTCGGCGGGTATCTCGGCCAAGATGTCGCCGGCCTCGGCCAGCGAGGCGGGCCGCCACTGCCTCTGGACTCCGCAGGAGAGGAACCGCCAACATCCATCAGTACGCCCCGCGTGAAAGAGTGGTCTCCGTCGAAATACCGACTGCCTCCCCGAAGAGGCCCCTCCTTCGACAGAGAGGTTACCCTCCCAAAGGAGGGTCTCCGCTTTGACAGTGAGGACCCTCCCTCGGGAGAGAAAAGGGCCCCTCTCTCCACCCAAAGGGCAATTCCATGGATCTGCCGGTCTGGGGCGGGCGGCGCGGGAGGTATTCAGAAAGGCCCAACTGCAGATACGACCGATTCTGGCGACCCTGAACCCAAACATGTTGTCATCTCTCGGGCGCACCTTCTACTTCCGCCGCCCTTCCGCCGAGGAAGAGGTGTCAACCCCTTCGATCCTCGAAGGTCAGGCCCTTTGCTGGAACGCCCCATGTTCGGCGGTGGAAAAACATCCCTTCAGTAAACTTCCCCTTAGTGAAAAGGGCCTGGGACCGAAACCGACGGACTTGGACTCGCAAAAATGACGGCCGCGACGCCCTCTCGCGAACCGAAAACGACAAATTCCCGAATTCCTTCATCGACGTGTCAGGGTAGGAGGTCTATCCACCTCCGACTCACGCGCATCCCGCTCGCGTCGGAACGAGCCGTCTGGCTCGGGGCGCTCCAAGCGCGGGCTCCCCTCGTCTGGCTCGGGACAGCTCGCGCCTCGGGGTCTCTGTTAACTTGCGGCCTCCGGCCCCCCCTGTCGGCCCCAGGGCCCGTCGACAGGACGGCTCGGGATGCAGAGCCAGTCCGAGGCAAAAGATCGAGACTTGGACCTCTCTAGGAGTCCACGAAGCCACGACACGGAGTTTGACCTTCCTCGTTGCCGGCCTTTGCTGTCTCGTTGTGGCCCTCGTCGCCACGGCTGGACTCGCCTCAGCATCCTCGTCACGTTCAGAACACACCACGATAGGTCCAGGGAGCATCGGTCTCGGGACCTTTGTGTCCCCCCCCAGAGGGGAGGAGAAGGAGGCGGCCCTGCAGGGATGTCTCCGCCAAGAGATCCATGCCACCCTTCTTGCGGCAAGCATGACGGAAGCATTGAACCGCGCTCATGAGTGCGGTGTGTCCGCCTCCTTGGACCGTCATTCTCGCGGGCTGGGCATGATTTTTGGTCATCGTGGTCTGCTGCGACCAAAAGCATGCTACTCCAATGCTGGTGGCGAGAGGCCCCGCGGTGCAAGTCCGCATCATGATGTAGTCGTCCGTGCTCGCGACCTTGAACGTTTCCTGGATCGTGGCGCTCGCTCTCTTGCAACTTTTGCTGGCCTGCTCGTCGACTTACACACATATGAGGGAACCATGGCGAGGATAACTCTCGGGCGAAGATGAATCGAGAATCTCTAAGATCCGGCGGCTCTGGAGGACGTGTTAGACGCCACGGCCTCCTCAGAGCGTTCCGGGACGCTCCGAGGGCAATCCGGAACGCTATGGAACGGACATTTATCCTCGTCCTGGCCCCGTCCGCTCCTCTTCCTTCTCCTCCTCCTCCTCCTCTTCTTCCTCCTTCTCCTCCTCATCCTCCTCTTCTTCTTCTTCTTATTAGTATTATTCTTCGTTGTCTGATTCCTGTGTGTCTTATTATTCCGCTTCTTCCTCCTCCGCCTCCTCCCTTTCTTCTTCTTCTTATTATTGTTATTACTATCATTCTTCTTCTTCTTCTGTTTCTTCTTCTTTTTCTTCTTCTTATCATTATTATGGTGATCATTACTACTATTATGATTCGTATTATTCCTCTGACTCTTCCTCCTCCCTCCTCCTCCTCCTCCTCCTCCTCAACCTCTCCCCCCTCCTCAACCCCCCGCCGCTCTTCTCTGCTCCTCCCGCTCGTCCTGTTCCTCCTCCTCCTCCTCCTCCACGTCCTGTTCCTCCTCCTCCTCCTCCTCCTCCTCCTCCTCCTCCTCCTCCCTCCTCCTCCCTCCTCCTCCTCCCCCTCCTCCTCTCCCCCTCACCACCCTCTCTCATCCTCCTCCTCCTCCTCCTCCTCCTCCTCCTCCTCCTCCTCCTCCTCCTCCCCCCCCACATCCTCTTCCTCCACCTCCTCCTCCTCCTCCTTTTCTTTCTTCTCCTCCTCCTCCTCCTCCTCCTCCTCATCATCATCATCATCATCACATCAGCATCAGCATCAGCATCAGCATCATCATCATCATCATCATCATCATCATCATCAGCATCAGCATCAGCATCAGCATCAGCATCATCAGCATCATCATCATCATCATCATCATCATCATCATCATCATCATCATCATCATCATCATCATCATCATCATCATCATCATCATCATCATCATCATCATCATCATCATCTTCCTCCTCCTCCCCGCGCCTCCTCCTTCTCCTCGTCCTCCCCCTCCCCTCCTCCTTTTTCTCCTCCTCCTCCTCCTTTGTTCTCCTCCTCCTCCTCTTGTTTCTCCTCCTCCTCCTCCTCCTCCTCCTCCTCCTCCTCCTCCTCCTCCTCCTCCTCCTCCTCCTCCTCCTCCCCCCCCCTCCTCAAACCCCCGCCGCTCTTCTCTGCTCCTCCCGCTGCAGGGGGATGGGGCGGAGGCAGCGAGTTGCGGGGCCAGGAAGCCTGAGCTCCAGGAGTGGCGCCGCGGAAAAGAGCCGTCGAGGCTGGAGGAGCGAGGAGGAGGGAGGAAGAGGAGGAGGAGGAGGAGGAGGAGGAGGAGGAGGAGGAGGTTTCCGTAGCCATTTTGGCTCAAGGCTCACACGTATGTCTGACATGATCGCCCTCATATGCATCCTCAGCATAATGCTCCCGACGCCGCCCCCTTACAACCCGACCAATAACAACACACACACGCTAGTTTGGAGGATACATGGGCCAATGCACCACGGTTCGCCTACCTACCTTCACTGTCGATGACATGACATGGCCACTCAAGAAAAACGACGACATCACCAAAGTACGCAAGTACTGGGTCGAGCCACTGTACAGTCAGTCCAACGAGCACTACATCGACGGAGGCAGTGAGCAAATACCACCACCACGACGTACCCGCAGTAGGAACAACAGACCAGACCTACTTCGCACGGCTACACCATCTACATACGACCCTGACTGTTCTCGACAGCTACGCGCACATGTCGAACCAAACTAACAAGACCTGATTTCCGAGGATGGCATCGAAAAAAACACTACGTCTACATCTCACTCCGACTTGGCCACGAATACCTGACTGCACCGACCAGTAAAGAATGGGCATAGGCCAGGAGAGTGACGCATATTACGATTGCGTACTTACCAGACATCAACAAGAACTACTTCAACTTACTCTACATCCGCCCTCACTGGCTGAGGTAGCTATGCTCGCACCATGGCGTTGAGCTTCGCTGTTCAGAACCACCGATGGAAACACCATGCTACAAGAAAGCCGGCTACAGACCCGACCCGACAACCAACCATTCATCGATGACGAAGAACCACCAAGGTACTTAAGCAAATCGCCACTCATACATAGCACATGGGACCAGCTCAGCGACGACATCGACCACAACAGGGTACGACTAAAATACGCTTACTCCAACGAGGACGGCACCGAGAAGAGCCTCAAGGAGACAGTGTACAAATATACTACCAGCAAAGCACCGAACGGTGCGAGTTCCAAATGGACGAGGAATACGCCATCCACACGAAGATCACGTACGACGGAAAGAATTACGAACACCTTCATCTGCTCCATGACAGACTCACACCACAATGTCGCCTCGGGGTCGAAGCTACTCTCACTCACCAACTACCTAGCAGACGCACTCCATTCATCAAACGCCTCGACCCTCCACCCACCATGGGCAACATGCGTACCGGGAAAGAGCCGACGACACACCACTCCACCAGTCACTTACGAGCAGCCCGAATATGTAGAACTCGAAGACGCCACAGACTTTGAATGCGAACTACTCAACCAATGGGAGGGCATTGCACGCTTCCAACCCAATTACCATGTAAGCCCAACGCCTCCCACGCACTATGAGCTCAAGGCACCAATTAGAGACAACCCCGAATGGCCACGTACCATTGGCAGCCTCGGATCTACGCCCATCACGGAGTTTCACCCAAGCACGGGTGTCATCTACGACAACTGCAACCCGACTTACATAAAAGCCGAGCCCTCCGACGTCTTACCACACCCTCCTGGGCCCCACTTCACATACAAACCACCGAAATACATACAGAAAAAATATGGGTGCCGACTCCGTACCGACTTATCTCCAGAAGAAGAACATTACGCGTGTGTACAACAAGAGCTACTACAACCACCTGGCAGAGATGCGCCGCACGTGCAACGGCCAAAAGAAATTGCTACCACCAGAACAGACCATCCCAAACATCACCTTCAAGAGCATGACAACGAAACACGGAAAACTACATAATAACAGCCACGAGTACATCCCACCAGAGCCCCCACATATACCGATGCCAACGACACAGACAAACCTCGACGACACAGACAATACCCCGACGCATGCTACGATACTTCAGCATCAGAAGACAACAACAACGACAAAGACGACCCATGGGCCAAGATGAGCAGAGCATCCGACTTCCGCGAAGCTTGTCTATCGCCGCTCAAAACAAACAAATAACACGACATGCAACTACCAAATGGTTGGACCGCTTACTGCCACTTAGCCGAAGATGCAGAGGAGGACGTCCAAGGAGAAGACCATTGGCACCATGCAGTGTAATACCACGACGCAAACAACACATACACATTCAGACTCCCTAGCGACGACCTGCTACTGCCTGACTGGCAAAGATGCCTCAACAAGTACAACAACGAGATTGTTGCTCACCAAGGCGGCAAGCAATACCTGCCACGACACCCACCACTACGACCCGACTCCCAAGCCACGCCGCTACCGACTTACACACTACCTGCTACGACCTGCACGAAAATGATCAAGCTAAAACAACGCCGTCAAATCAGACACACACCAACCGGTGCACAAACCGCCCAAACACCCACACTTCTCACGACACGGCAACGGCCTGCAAGCATTCGCGGCACAATACCGTGACAGCCGGACAGTAAGAGTACAAGTCGTCCAGACCTACGACCACCTCGTCACGCTGATCGCAGGAGGACATGCACCGCTCGACAATGTCAAGATCGCCGCCGCACAAGAAATCGCACAGTGGCTCAACTCTTGCCAAGACGAGCACGACATCAGGAAGTAAGTACAACTGGGCAGTATGCTTACGCGACGCAGCTCACCTACTATAACGCAAATGCAATCCATCTGACCCAAGGCCACGCACCAGCAGCAAGCACGACGACAGCGACAGCTCCAACGACAAGGACAGAATTACCAGTACAATGCAAAAGACCCAGCTATCACCAGCCAAACCACCACCACCACCAGCGCAGCCCATCATGCTCAAGCCGCTTGCACCCACGCTGCCACCACCTTGGACAACTAATAGCACTCCGACGAGCTCAACAAAGGCAAATGACAACCCACACAACCAAGCAGCGGAGCATCTGACTACACAGCAGCCCACGCAACCTAATGCACTAGCACAACCAGCATCCGTAACACAGGACAACACAAACCACGCGCGACCACAACAAAACACGATCCGAAGGAAGCCCATGCCAAAGATACACATCAGCAAGACGACCACGACAATTACGACTGCACCACACCAGAGACCTCACTAACCCCCTCCAACTCACTTGGTCGAACTAACCAATCAAGCTGCACAACAGCCGCCGGACACGCCCAACACCAACAATACTACAGCATCGAGAAAGACACCCTCACCTACATTCACCGCCAAGATCGACTGGGCACCATCGTACATCTACCTACCTGCACACCAATCACCTGTCATATACCCACCAGACGAGGACACCAACACACAGCAATGGATACAAGCTATTCCTTGGCGGCAGCTAGCACCGCAATCACTGGCGACGCGACGCACCTACTCCCCGCCGCTCGCGGCTCAAGCGAGAGCTACACACCGCGAAGCAGCACGACGTGGAGAGCAACAAATACACATCGTCAACCGACGCATGATCTTCATCAACAAGGCTGGAGACCCCACGCTCCAGAGCTACATCGACAGGTTACGCACACACCAAGCCCGCTACGGGGTCTACCCCAACAGCGTAAACGAACACACACTTGGAGCACCATCTAGGGAGCCACCGCCCAAACACATGGTAACGATACACAAGGCCGCTCCCAAACGCAAGCCGGCAATCACCACGACGAGTCAAACTACCTACACATGACG